AAGATGGCTCGGCTATTGCAGAGTAGAAACAGACCTGGTGCGCCTCTTTTGGACGCCTTGATGACAAAGCTGCGTAGACACATGACGTGCGTCGGAGCAGCCAGGTTTAACCTGCATGCCCCCCCGTCTCCTGGTTCCCCGGAAGCCGTGACGTCCCTTCTTTATCTAATCCTGAGCTTAGGGGATCCAAACCAACCTGCTTGCGACGCCGAGCAGACATCATCTCGGGGTCTTCCACGATCCTCCATGTATGTTTCATGCGATAGAAAAGTTCTAACTCTCGGCTGCCACTCTTGGTCAGTGCGTTCGCCAACTGGGCTTCCGAGTGTACCCATCGCATGATGAGGCCATGGTTGTTCTGTGCCTCCTTCAAGGAGAGAAGCTCGATGTTCGTTCGCTTCTCTGCCCCTTTGATTACAAGGACCTCTGTGATCAGTTTGTCGTAGACATTCCTTGAGTCCGTGATCAAACAACCTTGCACCTTAGCTACCGCTACATCTGGGTGTCGCACATGAGGTCGCCCGCAACAAAGTTCACTCCACTGGTACCTAGCAAAGTACAAAGCGTCTTTGCCGTTGATGGCGGCTTGCGCCTCGGATGCTCCGGGTGAGCGGCAGGACCTGTCAATCCTATTAGAGTCTAATTAGAGTGCCAGGACACTGGAGTAATTCGCCCCAGCTCACCCTGTAACATACTGGATGGCCCGATGCCAGCGAGAATTCCTTGCGGCATTGCGTGGACCCTCCGTCGCAGCGGTTCTGGCTCGCGGCATCTACCCATCCGTACAAACTCAAGGGTTCATTAGTGTTGTAAGCCAGAACATTGGCTCGGATGATGGTCTGGACTGTACTCTCGGTGACTTCGGACAACAAAAGGCTGACCTCGGCAGAAACATGCGGGGCGACCTGTTGGGCGTGCCAGCACAGGCCGTCCAGGAGGGCCCTGAGTTGGGTCTGGTCGCGCTACGCGGTGGAGGCGTTGGTATCGAAGATGACAAGGGTATCTCCTTAATCCCTTCTACATAGCGCTCTTGACTCAAAGCAAAACCTCCTTCCGTACGCTCCACTTGCACACCGCATTGAACGAAACGGTCTGTCTCCCAATCGCCCCACTGAAATCGAGCCTTAATCTTATCCAGTATGGCTTGCCATTCCTTGTCATCCGCAGAACCGCTGAAAAGGAAATCATCGACATGTCCTGAAATCATCCCACGAAGCTGACCCTGAACTCTCCAAACCCATGCACACGCATCCGAGTTTGTCCTTTCAAGACCCAGCTCTTGGAGGTATTCATCTACTGTGCGATACCATTCTAATAGCGCATCTACCAATCCATAACACGCTCGTTTTAAGCGCGTGATGGTTCCTTCCGCCAGTCCCATGGCCTCACAGATTTCCGGGCACGGTACACAGTATAACTCTCCTGGGTATTCTCGGCCCTGAAGAAACGCACCTGACACATCGCCCTTCTGAATCCTCCATTGCTTGTTCGCGGTGATCTGGAGCTGCAACTGTCTGGTCTGCCTCGTCATGACAGGTGCTGTTGTGGCACGATGCTCGTAGAGCGGGTCTTGGTATCCCAAAAGCACCGCTCTGGCTTTTGCTTTCTTGCCCCCTGAATCCAGTGGCTTCCATGTCAATATCCATCTCATGTGGATCGCCTGGTCCTTATTCGGTCGAAGCTCTTCCGGTAGCGTCTCGAACGCTTTGGCTGCCAGGAAATTCCGCACCTCAATGGCTTTGGCGGCCCGGAACTGCTTCTTTTCCTCATCGTTGAGTCTCCTCTCACTGACTTCCACAGCTCGCCGCTTCATAGCTCCCACGAAGTAGCTCTGAAAGTGATGTAGGGATTGTTGGAAGTTCTTTTGCCCTGCTGGTAGGTCAATCTCCACCGCCACTGCTGCATCCTGCTTCTCCCAGTAGGCTGTAGCTCGTTCCTCCCAGTGGTGGTCTGGGATGGTAGCCCTAGCCCGTATTGCTGCGGGCTCGCGTGATCCGGACGAGGGTGTTGGCGCATCCTCGTCGTCCTGCTCGCCCATCTCGCTCACTGGTGCCGGTCGCTTCCCCCGCAGCCTGTGTCTGCTCGGCTGCACTTCGGCCTCCAAGTCCTGTGCCCGATGCCACTCCTCGGTACTCCTCGGTGGTCGGGACCTGATCGGAGTAGTCGCGATACTGATTCCCACCTAACTCCGTGGCTACACGTTGGAAGGTCCACGGAGTGCGGTCCTCGGGGACTGCTAGTGATTCCACCAGCTCCTCCCTCTCAGAGGCTCGGCGCAACTGCTGAACACAGCACTTAAGCAGGCTTCTACCTCGAACCCGCCACACTGAACTTCCTGGTCGTAGTAGTCCGTCTGAGTCCTGCTTACGTTCGGTGGCAAGTATTCGGGTGGGGCGCAGGAACCGGCCATGTTTGTCACCTGGCTGCCTACGTCCCTGCTGGCTTGTTTGAGCCCTCCAGAAATACACCAACTCTCCGGGTTGATAATCATACACAGGCTGTGCTTTGGAGTTTCTAGCTCGCACAATTCTTTGCTACGCAACCCAAGTAGCGTGGCTCCCTTCAGCGAGAGCTCTCAGCCGATGGGTTCGTTCCATCTCCCCGCTCGGGTCTTCCCACAATTGAGTTACCGGTGACATGTTCACAGCATCCAGGATGGGCCCTACATTATCGGGGTTGTGACCGAGAGCATGTTGTACGGGAGAAAAACCTCGAACGACATCTCGTTGATTGAAAGTCATTGTAGCTACTGCGAGCGCCTCCTCGGCGGTAAGATCTGGTTCCGCAATGCAAATCTTATCCATCACGCTTCTCACACCTTGAACTGCCTGCTCGCAAACTCCTAACTTCCAATGAGCCTCGCCCGGAATGATATCAAGGAAGATCTCATGTCGGTCACAACACCCTTCAACAGCCTGGGATCTAAAGGAACCTGCCGTCCAGTCGCAACACCTTGGGTCTCCCGATGTACTGAATCCAACCTTCCTGAAGATAGCTCAAGCACGTGCTCGCACTCGGTTGCTGTTTCAGACCACTGGTTAAGATCCTAGCAGTTCGGAAACGTGAACATTCATCAATGATCAGCATGAATTGCACTTTGGCATGTGTGTGCGGGTGTGTCCAGTGCCCTACATCAGCCGAGATTGTTTTCCACCTTGGTGGGAGGGGTTCCAACGAGGCTAAGTGTCTGTGTCCGATTCTCCGTTTTTCCGAGCACACATGACAACGGAACTCCTGGGCCAATTCAATGACCCGTGCCGGTGCCCCTCGTCGTCTCAACGCTTCCACCAAGTGTTTGTTGCTTCCGTGTCCCGTGGCCGCACGCAGAAGATACAACTGTTTCTTCACTCGTTCATCATACTGGTTTGGTTTCTGTGACAACTGTCTCTTCCACACTCCCGCTCTTTGCAACACGAAGCCTTCCTGCCTACGGGGTTCGGGATACTGGGGGCACGCAAAACCCTGTTTCCTCAACTGACTCCGAAACTCCGAATCCACAACACCGCATTCTCGACTCACATACGCTGAAACCACAAGTCGCTCACCCTTCCAGGGACACGTTCCGTGCCAGGCCTTGGGGTCGAAGGTGACCACTCGTCCCTGGGTGGGACAAACTCGGCCGGTGATTCTTCGGCCGTCGATGGATTCCTGAGTCAGGGCGTCTTGACCAGTATAGTTCGGTGGGGCTTCCACCCACAGTTCGCCTCCGGTGTAGCTTCCTACTCCGGCTACGTAGTTGGGGTATTGCGAGTCGTTGTGGACGTCCCTATGTATCGGCATCCTGTTATTGCTACTCACAACGAAGGATGACCAATGACTACCTTGGGGCAGACGGTGGCTCAACCACATGTTGAGGTACCGGGTCGTCTGGGGCAATTGCAGGGTGGTGTTGGTCACGCCGTACTGGTTACCATGCGAATACATGCCGAAGGTGTGGTACGACGCAGCATCGGTCTGCGCTCGTTGTCGCTGTTTTCAGCTCTTAAGCTTCGAGACTAATTGCAACACGATCTCCACATCTTGGTACTTCAAATGGTTTTCCTGCAACAGCTGCCTTGAGACTTCTTCCACCTGTTCGGCTTGGCTTGCAGAATACATACTGGTTTCACGTTCCTTCTTTTGTTCCGGCTCGGTTTCGGGGTCGTTGTTCGGGATGCTGTTTGGGCCTGTTCCTTCTAGATGGGGCTCTCCTACTGCTTGGGCCTCGGGTCCCAATCCTAAGTCCTCTTTGTCCCAAACACAATTGCTACAGGTCATCTGAAAATCATGAATCTTACTCTCTCCACATGTGCAAGCTTCGCCCATGCCGAATGTTTCCGGTAGCGAACTCTGCCCTTCGCTCTCTTGTAACACTGCTTGATAGCTCAACTCCTGACAGAGAGCTGCGGCAACTCGTTGCGCGAAAGCTTTCGTGTAGTAGGCACTAGATGAGGCCGAACTTCCCTCACTACGACCATGTATGTACCTACGATCAAACGTACAAGGCAAGGACATACACTCAGCCAACCTAGCATGGGTCGTCATGATTTTCCAGCCCTTCCGAAGCAACCTTTCCCCCTTACTATCCCGAAGTTGAACCCTGCAACCCTGAGTCACCGCAGTTCTCATCTGGAGCTTCCGTTGCAACTGCTGGAACAACGGCAACCGCCAGGCATCACATCTTTCTGACAACTCCCTGGACCCCTGTTCCCCGACCATAATCTAAGCGTGCCTCCGTTTCTAGGCGCGGCACTGGCGGCGAAAGAGGGCTATTTGCTGTAACAGTCTAACTGTAGCACCTGAAGGCTTATGAGCTGGGATTTGTAGACTGACCAACATTCAATGTTCTGGTTTCGTGGGCAGCACTGGGGCTTCACATCTCAAAGGTCTGTTGGAATGCTTTCAGGACGGGTCTGATTTGTATATTCTAAGAAAGATGGGTATATAGGTTCGCCTGGCTTCGGTCGATCATTTTCACCACCATCTACGTCCAGCTCTTCCAGCGAGCCGCGGTCGGGGACTCAGGCACGAACCCACTGCTGCATGGCTCCAGCAAGCCATCTTTGCAAAACCCGGCCCTGAGCAGTATTAGCAGCGACCCTTCTGCTAAGAAGTGCCGTGCGTCCAATAAAATCTTCGGCTTGTGAACAGGATACCGATAGTGGGTTCAGGGCCGGCGTGCCCATGTCACATGCTTGCTTCATGTCGATGATAAAGTGATGCAAAACGTGGATCTTTGGTCGATAAGGCCAGAGCGGCTTGCCTTGTGCCAATGCTAATGTCGCAAGTTTGGAATAACATCTCAAGAAGCGGAAACCATCAGCCACAATTGGAGCCACTTCAGGAGGCTCCTGGGTTTGTCTTCACATGAATTTGAGAATCAGTCCGGAATCTTACTTGGATAAGCTTGGGTCTTGCAAGACAAGAATCGTCACTACTTAACATTGGAAGTCGGTTCTTTATTACGTGTAAACCACGATCAGGTTTATATTGACCTAGTGTGCCTTAAAGTATTATGCCACATGCAGCTCGGAATCCATCCACAAGTCGCAAGCATAGAGAGCCTGCATGAAGCGGCTGATCGCAGAAGCAGCACGGTAAATATACAGCATGATTTTGTCATCCTTGCAAGTGTCACGGTGTGTCTCACACATGTACAGGATGAACTTTGTAATCCGTGCCGTATCAGCAGCCTTGGACCAACTGCCAGATGGGAATGCCGAAGTAGCATCGAAGAACTGCAACTTGTCCCTCGTGAAAGCAGTCAGATGCACCGCCTCCTTCTTTGCGACTCGCCAATTTCGGAAAACGGCGTTCAAGTTCTCGATTTGTGCATCAACGGAGTTATTGCCTGGAGGACCCGCAAAAAGGTTCGACAGCATGTAGACCAGGCATGACGAGCAGAAATCTTGCCCAACTCCAGCCAAATAGACATGAAACAAATCAGCCAAATAAAATTTGGCAGGTCGGTCCATGTAGGACAATGAGGGTCTGAGCATGCCCCCTTCAAGCCCAGGCTGCCACGGAGGCTCTGTAAATGTAGGCATCTGCTGAAGCCAAGCAGGGCTTTCACTCTGAATCTCTTCGAAAGGGGCACTGACATCCCCAGCAGAACACAACCAGCAGCACTGGCCAGAACCCTTGGCTGTCTCAGAATATGGAGCTTTGCGCGCTGTAGTGAACCATCTGACTAGGCGACCGGCACGTGCCTGCAGCTTCAAATCGCCCTTCAATCCTATACAAACCAGGCGTAGAACCCGGCCTTTCCATGAAATGCCGTCATCGAAACATTCCCTGAGGTCTTCGGCGAAAGTGCGAAGCAATGCCTGAAAAGAAGTTTCGCTGTTTTTATGCCAGGAAGATGGCATCGCAGCATAAAGAAAATGTGTAGTATAGGAATGGCCCAGCAAAGGCAACTGCATCTTGTATCCAGAAACCCCGAAAGCTCGAACAGCAGGGTCCTTCTTGTTCTTTTTCCCGGAACCTGAGCCTATGACTGCCCCCCAATTAAAGATCATAAACTCACTCTTCTTATAGCCTCTCCCTCCATCGATGTGTGCCACGATCGGTATGCATTCTTCTAAAGGAATGTCGCTGTGGTGTGAAGAGAAAAGCTCGAAGTCCGGATGTATGGCTCTGTAGTTTTCCCAAAAGGACAATAGAAGCAGATGGCTGTTCTGTAGACTCCTTCCACCCAGCAGCTTGTTGAGATGACCGGAATCAGCCATGAATTGGAAGATATCTGAAGGCTTCAATCTCGGAAAACCTGCGATTGCTGGATCCCCATGAATTCCCCGGAGTGGAATCGGCAGACTGAGCTTGTGCTTGTTCAGAAGCTTGTGCGCTTGTCCTTCAGCATTTTTCTCCGAAATCTTTGACATCTCATGAATGAAGCCACCGGCCGAGGTCGCAAGGCCATCGGCCTTCATTGCCTTCGCCAGTCCCACCATCTTGGAGCACGGCACCTCAGTGGGAGGGGATGAATAGATATTTAATAGATTTGGATTGGTTGCTGCTAGGGTGGGGTGCATCTATATACCAGCAAGACTGCCTACATCAACTTCGCAGTGCCATGATGCCATCAGACACACTTTCTTTCCCCCCTGAGCATATATGCGCTGTCGCTTCGGTGCAACCAGGGCCGACTTGAACACAATGTATGTGAAGTATGGCGGGTCATAGACTTGCCGCCCCTCACCCCCAGGATTGATGTTGCGATTGCCAGGTCGGCCCTGAAACTCGGAAATTAGGACAGCCTCCATTAAGGCAGCTTCATCCCACGTGGCCCCTGCAAACAGTACTTGCATTTCTGCATACTGGTCTATATCATAACGATAGCCCGCTGATGAGTTTGTCTTCGAGGGCACTTTGTAAAAGCGGAACAAAGGATCACCAGTGAGGCCGATCTTATACACAGTGGGCCCCAAACGAAGGATACTAGCAACCCGTTCCCGAATGGAAAGCAGAGCTTTGCCTGCGTTCAGCAAAGGTGGTGGCAAGCAGAGCTTCACACGATCATCATTGCCGAGGCCATCCAGCAAAAGCTGCTGCAGTCGTGGTAGATGACGGACCGAAGGTTTGAACATCTCGAGCTGCTTGTAGCCTGGTTGGGTTTGTACGTTTTGTTTTCGACTCTGCTGACGGATGTTTGTGCAGGAAAGACTATCCACACATGTACACACACACACACACATGCAGTGCATTATAGCTACCGTAGAGAATGACACAAGTGTGTTTTGGGATCACAGGATCTTAAATGTTCTAGTCCTATGGTTCTGCCTGTTTCAACAGACACAACCTTCGACCTTCGACCCCGAAGCCTCAAATCAAGCAGAGTCCTGCACCTGGACAGGTTCAATGCTTTGCTGCGTACAATGGGACAAGCCAGCTCGAGCACCCAGACTTACGGATGGTTTTATCAGGGGGTACTTTGGTTTCAGGGTTAATTCTGCTTCGTGGCTTCGCAATATACATAGATTCTTTGCTTTTGTTTTCCCTGAGCCCTGCACACACATCCTACTATAAGCCATGCTGCCCAGCCGGCTGTTTGAAACTGGAATGGACCTTGCACATAGTACCCCCTCAGAGTGGTTAACCCCTTTATAGTTTGCTAATCCCAGGGGCTTTCATCATTGGCTTCTCGTTGTTCAGGCACAGCAGCTGGTACATCCAAAGGGTCATCATCGGGTCCTTGCAAGACTGTCATAGAAGCAATATGTATCCTAGAATGCCCTGCTACAAACAAATACCAACACCATGGACAAACTCCCACTAGCAGGCCTTCTGTCGTGGGAACACAGCGTGGACATGGCACACTTAAATTGCGACTGCCATCTTGACAGAACCCTAGCAACTCTTCTAGCCACTCCTCAGGCTGTGTCATGCCCAACTAGCAGCAAAAAGCTTGAGGCAGATCGAGTCATCAGCAAAGGTGTGTAGTAGCAGCTCAATCCAACATCAGACTTGCGAGAAATGCAGAATCTCTGGATGCATATAGGCTCACTGTGTCTGAGTGTAGCACACCTGACCCAATGGCATCAGCCATGAACTTGGATGTCTCCTTCGCTTCCCGCGGACCTGGCATCGTGTTCGATACATCGAAATGAAATAATACATGCATGCTTCGCAGAGACAGCAGGCAAAAGTGCACAAGGGATTTCTTTTGCACGAGCCACCCACGTGCATCTAGTTGTTGCATGAGCTTCTGTGTCCACTTCAGGGCACATCCACGGCATCAAGTATTGCCATGGAAAGACCGATCGAGAACATAATTGGTTTCGATCTTGCAAGTTTGAAATACACTCCCGCGTGTAGCTGTACACGACAGGTTCACATCAAATTGGAAAGAACCCCAACACATTCTGTGTTTCTTTGAACCCCATTTGTAGCTCCCGAGCCCTACTTGTCTTCCTCCTCCTCCTTCTTCTTGGGTGGCTTGCGAAGGAGCGGCCTAGGCAAAGCAATAGCAGCTCTCATAGTTCCCACGTGGCAACTTGAACTTGTTGCACTTACTTAACAGCCCATATATTCAGCGCACACGTGAGCTTCTGCTTGCGCTGAGGCAGTGGCCGGCACGTGCGCTCCAGGCCCGTCCACATGGAGCACCTTGCCCAGCGGGTGGGAGGGCTTCTGTGTTCGTTCGAAGGTTTTTTTCAAGGTTTGGTAAGATATTCAAACCTGTAGTTGGTGCTCTTCACTCCAAGGTCCTGGCAGTTTCTTGGACTCGGTTACAAGGTCCACCATGATCTTGGCGCCCCTCAGTAGAATCCAAGTAGGGTGAATTTATTGGCAAATATGATCAGTCATTGACTAGGAGCTCGGGGGTTTTGGCCGACAGCTGTTCCGTGTGTAGCTTGGCCGTGGCATCAGCCATTCTCTCGTAAATCTTTTCAGCGGACTTGGCCATGAGATCCAGCTTACCTCGAGACCTTAGCAGCATACTAGGAACCCAAGCCATCAATTAAGTGCTCACTCCAGGCTCACACATACTTCTACAGTGCCACCGACAACTAAATGTTGCAAGTCAGGGCTCGCTGTGGCACGTTCCTTCTTCTCAGGATTATTGATGAGAGCCAGCTTGTCCATGAGGGCACTGCACTTTTCCTGAACCGACAGAAGCTCCTTCTGCTGGATCTCCAGCTTCTCCGCCTGGGCACACAAACTGTGAAGCTCAGTAGGCGATGTAAACACACATATGCAGAGGAAGTTGAAAGCAAACCAAGTCTTCCTAGAACCAAGTAGATTCCCTCGATAGATGTACCAACAAGCATCAGCCTCAACACCATCCCAGGCCTCGGTTTTGGCAGATTCAATGTCAGCGGCAGTTTGGAGGCCCATGTTTCGAGCAGTGACACCATTCACATCCATGCCACTAATGTCCATGGCGCCTGTGCCTTCAGCCTCCATTGTCTCCTCCATTGCTTGTGTCTGCCTCAAGCGCTTGAGACCTTTGACACGTGTGCGGCACCAATAGTACTTGATGCTCTTGTCGACGAGGTCGGTCCTAGGCTGCGTAGTTCTGAAGGGTGTTTACCCCATGACTCATGCAGAGTATATGTATGTTTCAGCGAGTGCATGCAAAGAGGGCTGTGTTTGAGTCATGCCACAAGATAAGATCCTCCCCATTGGCAGGGTCATTGCACCATGCGACCGTCTGGTCAGCCCGGGTCCTCAGATGAGGCAGAGTGAGAAAGAGAGCGAGAGAGAGAGAGAGGGACATTCAGGGAGTACATAAACAGACACACACACACACATATATATATATATAGAAATATAAATAAATATAGACCTGGGAAAGAGGAAGTAAGAACTATTCTAGATGATTTTTTCTCAGCTCCAGGGTCCTTCCGGCTTCTTTGATGGGCTTGTTCGACTTATGTTAACACAGAGTGAACAGGCTAGACAGACAGTTACAAAGACAAGTGTGGACCAATATATGCTTCAAGGGCAATGAACTAGGGAATCAGGTCTCAGCTATCAAGGAAGATCAGAGATGGGAGGGAGCAAACAACTACGGGATCGCGGGTTTATGTAGGGGCTTAGGGGCTTCTAGAGTGCGTGCGGGTCTGTGATTCAGAGCAATTCAGTGCTGTGAGGTGTAGACTCATGAAGCTGATTTGTTAATACAGATTCCATGTGATTAGGGTTCACAGGGTTGCCAGGCTTTATGTAGGGTTTTTACGAGTGTGCACATATGAATATATATATATATATGTTTATATATATACATACATGTGCATGTATATATTGACATGCAGAAGTGTGTGTATACATACATATATATATATATATATATATATATATATGAATTCAGACATATATAACGTTTTATGTCTGCATGTATACTGTTCTATATATATATATATATATATATATATATATGTATGTCCGTATGACAGTGATATTGGGCATGCAGGTCTAGATAAACATATATATATATATATAGATATATATATATATACATACATCATAACTTTATCTGCACAGGTACACACATACACACAAATATATGTGCATTATGGTGCCGGGGGTTCCAGTTAGGGTCCAACAAAGATTTCCGGAGGCTTCTTCAAATATTAAGGAAAGTTTCTAGGCTTCTGAAGTCGAGACACTGGGAGTAGTTCAAATTCTTCTTCATTTCGTCGGGGGTGTAATACCCACCCTCCTCATCCAGCTCTGAGGTTTTCTCGGAAACTTTCTTGAGGGTGAAGCGGCGGATAAACTGGTCCTGCCACGACTATGTTAGTCATCTTATGGCTTAATATGAATTAGGTACATATAGGTGTCGAGGACCCGAAACCAGAGCAGCAACCTAGCCCCTGTGCATCTTTAGAAAGGTTGTGAACCCAATCCTTGTTCCCATTTGCTCTGATGAACGTCTCGAACATTTGCTCCTTGGCCTTTCCCTTAGCAAGGAAAGCCTCGTGCATCTCTTTGGGGACATCAAGCCGCCCCGACGTAGGTTTCGGCATGCATGCCCGCCCGAACTTGCCACGCCAATTGTTGTACTCTTGCTGACTCAGAACGATCTCACCGACTTTCACAACCTCGCATTGGGACCCCTCACTAAAAAGGTTCAGAAAGCCCAAACCCAGAATATAGAAATAGCCCAATAATTGCATGACCCCCAGTAGCTCTCCACCATGTATATCAAATAATTAATTGACATGAACAGCCTTGCTCTTGGCAGCTTCCTCCTCTTCATCGAGATCAACTACATCCTTGGTGGCCTCGATAGCTTTCGGCGGGGAAGGCCTTTTCGGGGTCGCGCTTGAGGATGTAGTTGGAGTCCCCGAGAGGCTACTGGGCTGGGATGCACCCGAGTTCACACTTTGTGTAGACGGTGTCCGTAAGCAAGTCTTCTTCGATGGTGGGGTCTGCCAGGCAACTCTGTATGAGGGGTTAAGGTTATTTGGGGGCCCCGGATTTATTGGGTTTTATAGCTTGGCTTGTTTAGGGATGAAGAATGTAGGTTCAGGAATTCAGGCACACAGGCATAGTTGGGGTTTTCAGAAAAGCCTCCAGAGCAGAAGAGGCCAGTTGGGCAGTGAGGTTCTTCACCGGGGTCTCGGGCGGGCATTGTGTTTCGGCAAGCATCACCAGACGCTTGTGCAGCTCCTGGTCCGAGAGCTCGGGGCCGCCCAAGCCCACAGAATCCTCATGTCGGGGCACAATGTAAGTCAGGACGGTTTTTGCTTGTGCAAATAGTGCAAAAATAGCAGGCAGCCCTTGTTATGAACAGACATTCACTTTCACAATCATCCTGTTCGGAATACTAGAAGGCAGCTCAGACATTGCATATGGCTCAAGTCATGTAGACATACATATGTACTCGATGGTGTTCTTAGTATCCTGAGGCCAACCAATACATGCATGCAGGCAAAGCTACCTACATTGCTACATCGCTAGATACCTACATACACACATAGACCCTGCAAACGCACAACTGAGGTGCGTTTCTGTGAGTGTGTGCAAGTCGATGATCTAGTAGACATGTGCATGCAATCAAAGGACAGCAACAACTGTCTCGTTTACTAGACATGCGCAGACATATGATCCACACCTGCAGTCATTCCCACCTGCTATGTTTCTATATGGATATCTGTATGACAGCACAAAGTTACATAACTTCGACATATACTGCAGATGCACACAAAACAGCTGTCGGGATATGAAGCAAACAGGGCATGGCCAAACTCTGTCAAGCAACAGCAACTGTTCCAGGCATGTCTTCATCGCTCTCGCACACCAAGTATGCATCATCCGTGGCTGGAGGCGGGCTTGGAGCTTCTCTGACTGGGTCAACCGGCTGAGCCGGTACACTCCCAGCTTCCAGGGGTTCCTGCTTGCATACCTTGTTGTTGAACCCAGACTTCAAGTTCGGCTGCTGTTTGATGTCCTGTTCGGAGTGGGGACATGCACAATTTTAATATATGTACATACCTCTCAATATGGACAGACAGACAGACATGCCCACACATGCACACATGCACATACATAGACACACATAGATTCGTATGCAATAGACACATGGAAAGGTCTATGCATACAGCCAGACATTGAGACACACACACACATATGCGTATGTCCATACAAGTACCGATCTGCGTGTACATGCTTATTGGGAAATGCAAAGGAACACAAATAAATGTATATGTACATATTATATACACATGACAATTCTAGATACAAAGATAGGTACATGCCAACTTCCACACACATGTACATAGATATGGATGTACACACACATACATATCTGTTGCTGTGTCTATGTATATATATAAATATTTATTTATACATAGATACACATATACATATATATATATATGCATACACATAAATGCAAATGTCATATAGTATACATATATATATATAGAGAGAGAGAGAGACAGAGAAAGAGAGAGAGAGAGAGAGAGAGAGAGAGAGAGAGAGAGAGAGAGAGAGAGAGAGAGAGAGAGAGAAAGAGGTCTGGCACACATGTCTAAGTCTGTCTATATAGCTAGATGGACAGATGGATTTATCGATATAGATACATAGATGGATAGGTAGATGGATAGACAGATGCATAGATACGTAGACACAGACACACATTCATGCATACATAAATACATACATATACAAACAAACCGACACACGCACACACACACACACCTACCTGCCGACCCAGGTACTTACCTAACTACCTACCTACACAATCTACGTACCTTGATACCTACCTACCTTCCTACCTACCTACCTGCCTCGACATGTATATGTCTCAAAGCATAAGAACATATTACATTGTATGAAATTATAATATATATATATATATATATATATATATATATATATGCATATTTGTATATGTCTAGACATATATACCCATACATACCTATGTAAATACCTATTATATATCTGGACATAGACACAACCAAACATTATATTAACTGTCAGGATGTGGGCAAACCCTGAAGCAGATTAGCTAGCTCAGAAGTGAACCCCCCATTCTATCCTGGATGAACTGTTGAAGCTCATCTGGGTCATCAGGCAGTGCAGCTAGAAGTTCTGATGCGTCCATGCTAGCCAGGGCTGAAGCTAGGGAATCACACGACCACTGCCGTGAGGTAAGGCGTTCCGGCCGTCGTTCACAGGCCATCGTATGGGCTCGGGAGGGCACAAACAACCCCAACTGGACAAAAATTGTCCTGTGCAAAGCGGCCTCGCAGGAAGAGCCCCGCCGCAAAGCGCTCACATCAGACCATACATTCTGTATGTTTTTTTTTGGGCGTTGTATGGTTTTTGGTTGGGCGTTGTGCGGGCAAATTTGGGCGTAGGTTTCTAAGCGTTTATTTTTTTTGGGCGTTGCATGGGTGCTTCTGGGCGTTGAATGGGTGATTTTGGGCGTTGTACGGGTGAATATGGGCGTTCGTGGTTGGGATCTACTCGAATCCCTAGAAAACACTATTTTTGGTTGTTCAGAACTATAATGGAACAGACTAAAACCAGCCCCAGTTGTAGTCTAGGAGAAGCCGACACCTGGGTTTCTAAGCGTCTCCCTTTTAGCTTCTCTTGTGGATTCCAGGCCTCTGGGCTGTTCTGGCTGCAGATTGTAGGACCTTCTGACTTTGGGCCTCTCCTTTCTACAAAGCCTTACAGACTCTGTGCCTTTTGAGAATCTAGGCTTATCCCTTGTACAAACCTTACAGACTCCGGTGCATTTTGGGCCGACCCTCACTTCCAAGCCCGGTGGGTACCAAGTCAGGGTGTTAATGATTCTGTATGTTTGTATTAAAGACTTATATAGGGATGCACCATGTCTTTAAGGATTTCAATTCTCAGATATACATATGCACATATATACATATATGGGATGAAAGATTTAACACAGGGATGTATCTATACAGGAGGTCTACCACTATAGGGTTTGTTGTCAACACACCAGAAGGTTATCATTCCTATGGCCAGCTAGCAAACAAAGCCACGGAATTGGTCCTCTTTTCAGCAAGTGCCACCTAGCATAAAGGGTTCCACTCTTAGTGCTGAAGCTTTCTCTTTTGGAACTCAGAGTTCCCTAGGGAGCAGTGGTTTCCATTGGGCCGGGATGTGCAAGCTTTTGGCACCATAGAGGTACTTGACAAACTCTGTCATCTCAGCCAAGGGCCATAAGTCCTCCCAGCCCCAAGCAGACCAAATATCCGGAGCATCCAAGCTTTGTAGTACATCATCTTGAGGGGGCAGGGGCGTAAACTCGATCAAGTTATGTAGCTCGCTCGCAATCTTCTGGCCAAAGGAAGCTGTATACTGCCTTAAATGCACATATGGAATCTAGACCCAGCTCCGAAGACCATCGAAAGCAACTGAGCAAGCACTCAAAGCTGGTTTAAAATCTCAGGACACGACCCAGTAGCCCGGAGGTCAAAAGTGCCCTTGAACCGTTGCTTGCCTTCCTTGTCGGTCCACCGCTTGACCGGAGGCCCACGTCGTCCCGGGTTGCGCTGCTGCTCTGCGGCTTTCACCTCGGCACGTTTGAGTTTTCCCACCCAGAACTTGGTGATTGCCCGGCTGGACGACCACAAAACCGTCGGTTTTGGGGTTCGAGATTCATAGTGCCACATCCAGAACTTGCATTTGTATACCTGTGCCAGGGCTAGAAGCTGCTTCGGTCTAACTGTTATAGACACATTGACAAAACATGCTTCGGATTAGCAAGATCGGGGCTCCTGCCTGTATTCTTTCACAGACAAACTGCATGGGGCTTAGCTCGAATAGCACTGAGGACTTTGGCTGTTCCACCACCCAGGTCCCCACAAACGCAGTTGTTGCCAGGAGCAACAGGGCCACCCTTCAGGGAATATGTGGGTTCTACATGTATGCACGCAACATCTAGGCCCTATCTAGACTAAGCAACCCAGATAGAAGTTCTAACCTCAATTACAAAACGTACAACTCCTGTATATATAGGACTTACCTCTACCTGAACCCTGAACCGATACCTCCAATGAGCCTCCCCGGCCTAGATGCCATCTTGTTTGCAGAGGCAACAGCAGGGATATCGGAGCACCCTTCTGGATTGGCCATGGACCTGCCTGTACTGCCCCGGCTCGTCGTGATAAAGGAACTACAGTGCACACCCAGCCAGTGAAGGTATCCTCTCCTGTCCCCACGCATGGTAGCCGTCAGAAAAGCCCTCAGATCCAAACATGTGGCAATATAGAGACAAACCACACAAACTCATTGCTCGACATGGGCCCTACCTGTTTCAGCTGAGCATCCCAAAACCACCATTCTTTGTCACATCTAGCGCTGCAGACTGCAATATGTCCATAGTAACACACTGCTGCCCTGGAAACTCAGCCTTGACTTGTCTTGCAGCCTCGGCATTTCCAGCGAAGCTCTCGACAAAGGCATAGGAGAACACCTCGTTGGGGGCATTGTCTGTCGATTGGAGGACTTAATATTTTGTTTTATTGGGTCCTGGCTAGGAGACACATTTTTAGTCACAATATGCACACCTACACAATTGATTCGCATAGTGCTTCGACAGGCTTGGCAGAGAGTGCATAAACATATGGTAGATATTTATATAGTATATATGTACATGTCTATATATATATATATATATACATATACAGAGAAGAATATGCACAGAAAAGAGCCACAGATACAATCTATATTCAGAATTATATATTCCATCAGAAGAGGGAGACCAGCGTTGTATTGCAATGTTCGAAGGGCATACTGGTTGTCCTTGCTGTATATTCAATATAGCCAGGATGTACATGTAATACAAGCCCAGAGTTACAGACAACCTATATATGTGAGTCATCAACCTACAGGCTGTAATGTAGTTAATGTACATTACATGCAGGTGTAAGTTACATAGCTTCCCACCCAAACCCCATAGTTTTCAATTACCGAAACCTGGAGAAAACCCTGATGCCTTTTCCTGGCACAAGCAGAAAGTGCCCTTAACAAGAGAAGAAATGTCAGAAGCCCAAAGGAAACCTGATATCTGAAACCATATAGAATGGAATCATGAAGACCCTTCTGTCTGTGTCTAACTCTCTTGTACAGTCGACCGATTGGCTCCCTCATCTTTGATTCTCTCCTCTCCCTATGTGCACATATAGCTCTCACTCAACATCTAGAGAAAGCCTGCCAAGGCCTCGTTGTCCAGCTCCACATCCGGGTTCCACAGCAGGAGCAGGCATGCGAAGGCCAGGATCTGCAGGGTGAGCAGGATATCTGGGGTCTGGGTACATATTTGTCACAAAGGCAACATACAAGTTCTGTTTCATTTTGTGGCCACTAGAACGAAGCTACCCGAAGCTCTCCTATGATGCAAAATGAGACACATGCAGAAACGTATCTGAATACTGAATACCTACCTTAGCCAGCAGACCTTTGGCGCACCGACACGTCGAAGACGCCGAATGATATCGGCTTCCGTCCAGCTACCCATGGCAGCACAGACTTTAGTCCGCAACACGCTAAACTTATCAGCATGTGCTTAAAGCCAGAGACGATGCCAACATCACGTTTGCAGCCAGCCGACACAGTGCACATCCTCATGTTCAAATTGATCGGTCACGCACAGTTGCACTCAGAGCTGGTCACTCATGCAACTCATGTAGACTGCATCCTTGCCAGACTGTAGCTTCATTCAGAAGCCCCCCGAACACGAAACCCAAACAAGTCGGTCTCTGCGGCTTCCTGCGGGAGTGGGATCATCAAGTAGGCCAGCTTTCGCAGCTTTGCGCTTGCCCCGAAGTGAAGCCAAGACCTGCGTGGGGAAGTGACTGAACATGGGCCTTGCTTGCTATAAAATTAGTGGATGATATCTTCAGTCAGATCATGTAAGACCGATTGCAATCATGCTTCGAACTGGGATCATGCTAGCATCAGCATGGGAGCATGTAATGTAGATCCCTTTCTTTTCACCCGGCAGCGGCACGATTGGCCACAAAAGCCTTGTAGGTTCGAAAGTCTTGGGTCTTCCCCATTTGCACCGTTGCCTGCTCTATGGCCAACCTGCGGCTTCCAGTGGCTGTACCGAGGCCAATAAAGCCCCAAGACTAAAACCCTCTATGCCGTGACACTAAAACACTTAGCCTTGAATCCACAAGCCATATATATGTATATACTTAGTCATTTATATATGTACCCACGAACCTAACAAAACCACAAAAGTTCACCCAGAGGCCAAGCTTTTAAAAGCAATGAACCAAAACCTTAGCCCTTAACACAACACAGCCTTGCAGACCCGTTCTCCAGTATATAGGCTTCTGATACCCAAGCATTCTGTGTCCAAGCTTTCTTGGCTTCCGGGGCTCAATGAGGTGTTCGGGCTTTCAGGCTTCTGATGTTTGTGGGGCATTCATGTACAGTGATTAATCACTTAATTGGCATATGTCTCTGAGTCTCACTCTCCCCCTCTCTTTCTATACATATATATATATATGTGCACATACAGGTATACATATGTGCAGGCACAGGCATATACAAATATATGTGCATGTGTGTGTATATATATATATACACACATGTACATGCGTAGAATTCGAAGATCATATATACCAGGCTTCCTGTTACACCATTAACATATGTATGGGGTTAGCACAATATTGCCTCAGGCAGCACCAGGGTCCAATTGGAAGAGTAACTAGTCCCAGCAACGAAACCATTCTGTTGTAAGGGGAACTCAGTTCCTAGAGCATCAATAACTGGTTGAGTTTCTAGACTTAGCTTAAGTGTATGTAGGTTGTAAAAGCATAATGCCACATGATGGCCCGCCAAGGCAACAGTGTCTCAATTAAAGCCTATCTGAATCTTGCTTCAGCAAAACAGGTGGCAGATCAAAAGGGATGGTTACCACCCCTGCATGACATCGGAAACACATCGAGTGCGATCATGCACCCCAGGTAACCGTAACACCTTACAGACCTACCCTAGCTGTCGGCTGACACAGACGCTCCAGGCCGTCCTTTGGATCACACGGCGCTTCAGGCCGCCTTGTTGGGAAGCTCATAGCCACACTCGGAAAGCCTTGGCTGATGGGATGTGGGCTTCCACTAGTAATGCTTCTAAAAACCTCGATGTGTTGTCACTTCTCTAGACTTCTAGAATCCGTATAGAGCTCATAGGGTTTAGGGCACTTCAGGGTGTTGTGGGGGTTAGGACTTCAATTGGATGCAGTGGCAAAAGGATGAAGAAGAATGGTTGAGTAGCTATCTATCTTTGGGTAAGTAACGTTCGCACATACTCCAAGGTTGCTTCGCGGATGTATCCCCAAGGATTGGTGTCATGCTCCGTCCATGCCCGGCACTTCACTTGCACGAGGTCAAAGAACTGGTACTGCAGCAGGGATTGAGATATATTGGGGATTGGTGTGTATACGTATTCTTCCAAGTGATATGTGCATGCACATCTTATCCGCATTGACCTGGGTCCCCTACCTACATTGCCTCCTGTCATTCTTAACTATATACACAGAAACCAAATATACCCCAGGGACATTCAAATCTATATGTAGCAGGGGTTCACCAACATGATCGGCCCCATTTTGGTGGAGCTGTGCCTCCCTACTGTAAAAAACAAACCAGGGTCCTCGGCCGCACACTTCTGGCGGTCCTTCAACTTCGGCAAGACATGATCCCTGAAGGCACCCACGATGCGCCGGTACTTGTTCACTCCATGGGCTGTCGTGGGCATTGCACGGCGGGCAAAGGTTTTTGGGAGGTCCGCCTCCATGGGTGGTGGCATGTCATTCACACCGAAGTCCTGCTCCACCTCTGCAACTGCAGCGTCTGGATGGAGCTGCTTGCGTGCTGCTGGCTTCTTCATGGCAGCCTTTCCCTTTGGCTTAGCCTTCATCGCATGGGGCACGACAGGTTCCTCGGGATCATCGGTTCTGGCATTCTTGGACTTGGGTCCTGACCCTGCCGAAGGTTCCTCAGGATCAACGGTTCTGGCTTTCTTGGACTTGGGTCCTGGCTCGGAAGAAGGTTCCTCAGGATCATTGGTTCTGGCTTTCTTGGACTTGGGTCCTTGCTTTGACGAAGCTCCCTCAGGATCATGGGTTCTGGCTTGCTTGGGCTTGGGTCCTGGCTTTGACGAAGGTTCCTCAGGATCATTGGCTCCGGCTTTCTTGGGCTTGGGTCCTGGCTTTCCCTTGGGTTTTGGAGCATCGGCTCCGGCTTGCTTGGGCTTGCGTCCTGGCTTTCCCTTGGGCTTTGGATCATCGGCTTTGGCTGCTGCAGCAGCTGACAAGCCTTCCGCATCATTGGCATTGCCCTCGGACTCGGGTGCTGGCATAGCTTCGGCTTCATGCTTGGGCTTGCGTCCACGTTTTGCTCCAGCCTTTGCTTCAGCCGCAGCTTTCTTCTTCGCATCTGCTGCAATGGCCTTTGCAGCTGCTTTTGCTTTCTTTTCCTTTCGGTGTGCAAGAATGAAGCGCATCTGGTCATCTTTCGATGCAGGCACCTAGCTAGCGTTCTTAGGGCTTTATGAGAAGTACCAACAGCTAGATATGCTAGTGAAGATCAACAGAGTCATGGAACTTAAGGACTTAATAATTGAACGGTGCAATTGCCTCACACGGGGACTCTGGCTCATCATCCTCGAAAGCCTCTGAAGCTGCAGCCTGTTCCCCCAGCTCCTGGCTAGGCTCGCGCGTTGGCGACGGAGCCATATCCCGAATCAAACTCTCCAGGCTGGGGTCTGCTTCTGGCACATAGGTATCCTCCTGATCGGGGTTCCTCAAGGGCATGCCTCAGCAATTGCACAAATATGGAATCACACCCTCGTTGCATTTAGAATATACATATACACATGTCTATTTATGTGTGTATGTATATGTGTCTGTGGGGAGTCAGGCTTACAAGTAGGTCCGATCTAGTAACTACCATAGTTAGTATATAGCAGCTAAAGTAAGGAACACAAGTTAATGCATATACATATGTTTTTCATACTTCAGTCGCATTGCACAATGATACATAAGTGTATTCATGTCAAAATAACTTTACACACACACATATATATATATATATACATATCTATATATATATATATATGTATATATGTATATGTCTGCATGCATGCATGTTCATATGTGTCTAAGTCTATGTATGTCTGTCCATGATATATTATTATCTATAGTTGCTCTGGTCAGCGGGAAAAGTCACCTCAACTCTAGGACAACCAAGGATCATCATCATTGTTGTTAGTATGCCACAAACGAAGCTTGTACCAACTATAAGGTGCAGAATAAAAGTTAGTGTCCAAGAGGATAGAACATATGGCTACTAGCTTTCCTTAGATCCACACCTTTATGAGTTTCTGGGACATAGAAATCGAAGCTAACCCCCCCCCCCCAACATGGTGTCGAACTTGTACTTAACATAATTGACGAAATAGCTTAAATTGAAGACAATCTCAGCCCAGGATACGATCTCCATAATACAGCGTCTGTGCTGGCGATGGTGCCACAAAGCTTGCAGAGCCTCTGCCAAGGTCGCCCTCACGTGCCACCTTTGCCTCTGCCAGCAAAGAACCACAAAGCCCAGGCAGACTCCTGTAGGGGATTTCGGGCTTTGGAGGTGTTCAGGACATGAGTTGAATTTATATATTCCAACATTGCAACAGCCTTTTAAATCTACATAGAACTTCAAAGACAGAATTTGGCAACACCCCACATGGCAGTCGAGCCAGTTGCTGGAGCATGTTCGGGGGCCAAACCGTTCATCTTCAGCTTGCAAGCCTCCAAGAACCTGGCCTTCTGCTCGGGCGTAAGCTTCTGTGAGAAGTCATCTTTCCAGGTTTTAGGAATATGCGGGCGGCGTTTCAGCGCGGAGGGCCTTGATGACGATGGGGCTTCGTCGGGGCTAGATTCAATCGTGCACACTGCTGGCTCAGCCGGGCTTTCATCCAAGAAGGTCTTCTGACTTTCCAAGCTTGGCTCTGGCAAAGGCTCAACACTGCTAGAAACCACTTGATACTCGTCCGGAGTTTGAAGACTTTGCTCATCTTCCCAAGTCTCCGAAGTTGTATGGGCAAGGCGATAACCTAGCTCAGCACTGTCCAGCTGGATCTTTTCCTCCCTAGTCAAGCTTGACCGACACACGGCCCCGGCTGCCTCCCTTTGTGTAGCCTCGACTGAAGCTTCCACGAGCATAGCCTCGACTGAAGCCTCCCCGAGCGTAGCCTCGACTGAAGCCTCCCTTTGTGTAGCCTCGACTGAAGCTTCCATGAGCATAGCCTCGAGTGAAGCCTCCCCGAGCGTAGCCTCGACTGAAGCCTCCCTGAGGGTAGCCTCGACTGAAGCCTCCCCTTCCACAGCCTCAATTGACTCCTCCCCCTCAAACATCTGATCAGGATCACAATCATCGACACATGGCTCATAGCCATCATCCTCGGCCTCGGACACTTCCGCCAGAGCTTCTGGGAGAGGATCAGGACCATTGGCTGCATTCCATGCATCCTGCTTGGGTGGGTGCTTCCTAGCTTCGGAAATAACAAGATAGCACATCTATAATCTACTGTAGTACTTGTCCGCAAACAAACAATTTGGCAGAGTTTCAACACAAGGCTGCCTTCTGTCTTTTCTTCACATCAACAAGGATTTCCCAGAGCTCCTTGACCTTCGGATCCTGGGTGATGTCTTGCTGGTGGGATGGGCCTATATAGGTCTTGCAGTCAAACCATGTCTAGTTCATACGGTTTGTTATGGGGCTTCATACAAGATTAGCTAGTCAATTAAGGGTCAAGAATAAATAGATAATCATTCTTAATAGCTCGAATATAAGATTGGTTGATATAGAAGCCTGAAGAATGTACTCACTCAGCCAAAAGGAGGCTATATACGGGGCGGGTTTAGATAAGTATGATTGTTGTGAAGCCGAGATTCTCGGGGTGTTTCCCCACGCATGACCTTGGGACGTAGGAGGGTGATCATCTTGTGTACGACCCAACCATCCTTGAAAGCCCAAACCACAGGGTCAAACTCTTTGATCTCTGAGAAAAAGGCTTTGTGCTTGCCATACCACCCTACGAACATCTTCGCAAGCATGTCCGCAGGGTCGGCACTGAGGCGTTGCCTCGCACTCATCTTTAACACAATCTCCTTCATCACCAGGAAATTGTAGCTGATGTTCTCAAGACTCGGCAACAAGGTTGGAGCCCCATTGGCAGGTTGCATAAGCCTCTTACCAAAAGCCGCCCTGCGATGCAAGTCAGCATGAGTATCCCAGAGTTCAGCCATTACCTGGCACTCCTCCTCCGAACATGGCTGGCCATCGGGATAAACTTTCCGAGGCATCCTAAAAGCTCCTAGCATGGCCTAGAACCCCTGAATGCATTGACCCGGTTTCCCCAATGCACTTCCCAGCACAAAAGCTGTCATAAGCCACAAGCAGTCCATAGCACAGAATTCACAATCGCAACCAACAAGTGCAGCAACACAACTGACAAGTACAGAACTTCTAGGGCAGTCCCAAAGCTGAAGCGAAACCCAAGGGTGGGCGCACCGACTGTCCACCGGAGGACATTCTGCAGTGGCCGCCGCAGCGGCATCTTCAATCATCTCGATCATTTGGCCGTCGACCGTTGTTAGCATAAATAGGGTTGTGTGGGTTCACGGGTATCCGTTGTCAGCATATCAATAAAACTTGAAAGGTTCATATAGGTATAGGCATATGTATAGAGCTAGAGAGAAAAGTATGAAGGGTGGCACTATGTAGAAACACCCCCAATCCTGCTATATTATTATGTAATCAATCTCTCTTGGGGCCTCCGAAGTCTTCTTTCTTGGACCAGAAGCAATCGGAACCTGCATGGACACGGGTTTGGGGCTGAATCATCCTCGAAACTAAGCGTTATGGGTGTTTCTAAGCGGGCTCAGAAAACCGTCAGCGTAGGCGGGTGCAGGTCCACGGTACAGTGAATCCCTTCCTGGACGGCGGCGTGAACCACACAACAAACTCCAACATACACTTTCATCACTTCACGACGCTTCTGTGCCAGTTGAGCTTTCTGTTGTTCGTTCCGTTGGTTCACAGATTGCAAGGGTGAGAAGGGTCCGCAGGGAGGAGACAACCACACATGTTGGGGGCGTTCTCTTCTAATATAATCCTACCCAGGATGAACCTAAGACCTTCAGTCGTACTAAGATCGCCTGAGTTCCACAACGCACACCGACTAGTGACTAGCTGCATCCATCCTGCCCGTCTGTTCCTGGACGGCCTTCGTTAAAAGGCTGTCTGGGGAGCAGGCAACTTCCATGAGAACTGGGCGTTGGCCACCCGCTCCATCCGAGGCAACCAGTTCTTGAAACAAACTAGGAACGATGCTTGCCGCAGTGTCCTCTAAGATTCGGGCTTGGCTCTGGCTAAGGTCCCGGCTACAACCCAACTGTTCCTCAGCCTCAGACCGAGCGTGGGCTCCCACGCAACTGCTCAAGCCCTCAGAGTCGAGCAGATCATCTACTTCATCTCCTTCTCCTTCTTGCGGGGTCGCTCGGTGGAGGCCGACGCCGTCTCGCGGATCTCCTCGATCTCCTCCTTCATCTCCTTCATGGTCTCCATCATCATCTTCATCATGGCCACCTGCTCGTTCTCGATCTTCTTCGGAGGGGAGCTGGAAACGGACCTGCTTCCCTGCGGCACTTCGGCGGCTACCACCACAGGTGCCGTGACATCCGTGGCACGCGTGAGCCACTGAGCCAAGCGCTGAAGACGGGGACCTGAGTCCTCGGCTTCCTTGTAGGTCTTCACCACCCAATCCGTGTACTGCGGGTAGGTCTTCAGGAGGTCGGAGTAGGTCAAGGCCGCATGTCGCCCGAAACCCACAACATCGCGTCCCGTGCTCTCCACATTCTTGTAGAGGTAGTCCATCGCCTTCACCTCCATCTGGTACATGGTCTCGTTGTGGTTCACCGGGATCTTCAGGACCTCCTCGAGGTAACGAGTGAGGTCCGCCTCGCGCCGCTTTTGCTTGTTGAGCTGCACAATCTGCTGCTGGAGCGGCGACAGCGTCTTGACCCCCGCAAACTGCTCCTCCTCGTCCAAGTCCATCAGCTCCCTCAGCCGGTGGCGTAGCTGTAGCTCCGACATGTTCCACGAGGCTGCTGGGATTTCCCCATAGTCGCGGATGGCTGCTGTGAGCTCGCCCTTGGTCATCTTCTGCACGGCCTTGTTCAGTTCACCACGGTCTCGCTGGCCATGTTCGGTCACGAGGGCGTCGAGGGTGTTATTCGATGGTCCGCTTGGTTCTCGAGATTGCTGCGACATACACTCCTGCGCCTGATGTTCAGGTACTGTCTGGCTCCCTGTCTGCTCAGGATTAGTAGTAACCGAAACCCCACTACCAATCCTATCCCCAACACCGAACGCAACTGGGACCTTGGCTTCCGAGTCAGATCCTACTGCTGCCTTGGCTACATTCCCATCACCGAAAAACTGCTGCACCTCCCGTTTACCATCCGATTTGGCGAACGAGAGGCGTTGTCCCTACTCCGAGGCATCTATGTACGAACTCAGCGAGGGGATGGCAGTCTTAGCCGCCACTGCCTTATGATACAAGTCCTCGGTGAGGTCTAACAACTGATGGCCTGTGCTGTGGCCGAGCGCTGCAAATGCACCAGTTTGCGTGGGTCGAGGGCGCGAAGGACCATGAGCTGAAGTCGATGATGGCACCGAGTGCCCGCAGTGTGGCTACGGACACCAGAATCGGGCCACTTCCTTTATCCAGAGCATGGATTCGTAGGTGTCCTCCTTGGCCGTTGGCCTGCAGACCCAAGTCGATCGTCGACACGCACTGGGCCTCGCCACTGTCCGCGAAACCGAAGACCGGTTTGTTCTCGAGGTCCACGGCTTTCACACCGGTGCTTCCCCTCTTCTGTGCATTCCTCTGCATCACGGCTTCTATCGCCTGCACGGAGCCAAGAGTTCTTGTGGCTCCACCATCAATCACTCCAAAGCCATTCTTCACTGCTTCAGAAGTGGTGGGGCCCAACATTGCAAAGGCTGCCGCATTGCTCGCCATTGCTTGTTCCACGTAACATACGAAGGGAGCTGCTTCAGTCTACGACATCTTGGCCCGCTCATTGGTGCAGTTAGCGGCCCGATGGCCTACTTTCCCGCACTTCAAGCATGTGAGGTGGCTGTCGTCCTTCGGGCCGCTGGATGACGCGGCACCTTGGTTGAAGCCCTTGGCTCCTGAGCGGAAGAACTTTCTCGACATACGAACTTGATGTTGTCGCCTTCTGGCTTCCTTAGACGAGAGGATTTTAGTCGCGGGAGACTCTTCATGAGAGCCAGGACCCCTATAGCGCGCGCATGATCCAACAAGAGCCCCAGAAGAGCCCTAGAGAGGCCCGAGAGGAGAGGATTTTAGTCGCGGGAGACTCTTCATGAGAGCCAGGACCCCTTTAGCGCGCGCATGATCCAACAAGAGCCCTAGAGAGGCCGAGACGAGAGGATTTTAGTCGCGGGAGACTCTTCATGAGAGCCACAACCCCTTTAGCGCGCGCATGATCCGACAAGAGCCACAGAAGAGCCATAGAGAGGCCCGAGAGGAGAGGATTTTAGTCGGTAGTCGCGGGAGACTCTTCATGTGAGCCAGGACCCCTTTTTTTAGCGCGCGCATGGTCCGACAAGAGCCCTAGAAGAGCCCTGGAGAGCGGGGAGAGGATTTTAGTCGCGGGAGACTCTTAATGAGAGCCAGGAACCTTTTAGCGCGCGCATGATCCGACAAGAGCCCTAGAGAGCCCTGAGAGGAGAGGATTTTAGTCCTCGGACGGGAGGATTTCAGTCGCGGGACTCTTCATAAGAGCCGTGTGTTGTATATGTTGCATGTGTGTCTGTGTTGTGTGTTATGTGTTTTCTGTGTATTGTGTGTGTCGCGTGCTGTGTGCGTGTTGTGTCTTGTGTGTCGCGTGCTGTGTTGTGTGTTGTGTGGTGCGTGTTGTGTGTATTGTGTTGTGTGTATTGTGTCGTGTTGTGGGTGCTGTGCATGTGTGTGTGTGTGGGCTGTGCGGGCGGGAGCGGGCGACGCGGGTTGGCGCGGGCGGGGCGGTGCAGAGCAGAAAAAACAAAAACCCCACAGTGATGTGAGGAACTATACAGAGCACCTCATAGGATACCCTTTAAGAATACTCCGTAGAATTCCTTATAGAAAACCCGCTACGGCCCTACATATGATAGCCCGTGTATGCCATCCATATATATATATATATTATAGACATACACCTTAACATTATGTATACTACAAACAAGGGAGATGTATGTCACGACACTGTGGACGAGCCCAAATCCTGAAAATCGTTCATAAAGCTGTAGCTTATTGAGAAAATCAGGAATCGAACAGAATAGCGTACAGAATACCTTATAAGCCTCCTACGAACCTCACAAACTTCCATATAGATTAACTATTATGGAATACCCCCTATATATACCTTATACGCACCCCTTTTGAGTACCTTGTAGCCTAAAATATCTTGTAGAATATTTTCTACAATACAACTTTTATGTTTATGTTTATACCTTATAGAACCAATCCCATATACAACACCTCATGGAATACCCTACGGAATGGCCAATGAAATACGTTGCATAATCCACCCTTTTAATTTAAACCTTGCAAACTACCATCTGCAATACTGTATAAACTACCTCATGGAGAACCCTGTGCCTGATACCCTCTATATACTCCATAGAAAACCCCAAAGACAACCCTCTAAAATATGCTTGGGATTCACCATAGAAGGCCTTATAGAAAATTTTGTAGATATGAAGGTTTAGCAAGGGGACAATCAGGAGAATAATGTTTTATATAATACCTGCTATATGCCCAATATGTATGTTGACCACCTGGAATACCCTACAGCATACGTCGCAGATAAACGATGTATAGAGGGAGAATCAAGAAGAGCCCAAGAAGTTCACAAGTTGAATTGTAGCTTCTTGAATAAGGGACTTTATATGACGGAGATCCAGAATCTAGGGTCTAGAAAGTCCTCTAATACATCGGTGCTTATGTAGCGCGGGGTAGCAAGGGCTCTATTTAGAGAAAATCAAGCATGCAGTGCATGCAAGATCCGAGAATTCCTGGTATAACCCGAAACTGTTTGGTCAAAGAACTAACTATGTAAAGAAATGCTGCAGGAACCCTCTAAATGATGGTTCGAAGTTTCTTTCCGAAGGGGTTATATAAAGGAAATTAAAAATCCTGGATTTGAGGATTCCTATAGTGCGTTGAGGCTTCGTTAGTAGGAGATGTATGGTCTAGCTGCTAACTATACACGACATATTTCACTACTGCCTATGTATTATTTTGCTTGACTTCAATAACTGTCTACATGTGCCCGGCGGGATTACCTACTTCGCTAAATTTTCTATTTTCACTATTCCCCGCCCCTGTCTTGGATTGCGGTAAGCATAAAGGTTCCCCATATTCCCTATCTCAGCACCCCATGTCCTGCCTTTAAGAATCTCCTTGATTCCTTAAATTCACCAAATTCCCTGATCCTTGCCCCACATATTGGGTTTAAGGGGTTCCCTAGTTCCCGAAATTACTTCCCCATGAATGGGAACACCTGTAACCATGAGCGTCGGAGTATGTCAAAGTTAGGGATTTTAGGGGTTTAGGGAATTCACTAAATCCAGCACATAGGGCTAGGGGTTAGGGATTCTAGAGAATTCCAGGGTATAGGGGGATATCCTAAATCCAGTACATGGGGCTAGGGGTTAGGGAATTTATTGGTCTAGAAATCAAGAGATAATCATTGCAGAATTCCAGATTGAATCTGCAATGTAATTCCAGGTCGCATGATTGCATATTCAAGGATTTTTGAAATCTCGGAGAATTCTGGAATTATTATAGCCACGCCGCAAATCTGGAATTCTGGAATTATTAGACCCCGCAAATCAAGCGGGTGGAAAAAATAGTTCCAGAAATCCAGATGTGCGAGAGCTAGTAATTCCAGAATTCCAGATTTTCAAATCTGGAAATATTCAGATTGCCATAATTGCAGACTTGTAAAGGTTAACAATTCTAGAATTCCAGACTGGCAGAGGTCAATAATCCCAGAATCCCAGAATTCCAGATTTTCAAATTTGGAATAATGACAAATCTGGAGTTCTGGAATTGTTAGCCTCTGCGAATCTGGAATTCTGAAATCTGGAATTCTGCAAGAGTTGTAGCCTCCGCAAATCTGGAATTTTGGAAGTCTTAGCCCTCACAAATGTGGAAATTCTAGAAATCTTGAATTCTGGAAGAGTTAGCCTCTGCAAATCTGGAATTATGGAATTATATATTCTTGCCAGTGTGGGAAATGTGGAATATAGTGTTCCGATATCAAAGCATATTCTCTGGAGTCAGTAGAACAGCGGATTACAGCATCTTCCGTCGCAGTTGAAGCTCCTTGTAATTAACATGAGGGCATGGGTTGTGGGGGGGGTACCATATATACATATACATATACATATACATATACATATACATATGCATATGCATATACATATACATATACATGTACATATACATATACATATACATATATATATATATATATATACATATATATATATATATATATGTACATATGTGCGCCGAAAGATTGCATGTAGTATGTATACGGCTCAAGCCGTCTCGGTTCGAGGGCCTGTGCCCAGCCGACAAGTTAGGACAGTCGCCTTAAGGACCGCTTTGCGCCTGTCTGTTGCGCACTAGCAAAGCAGGGTGAGTCGTGGGTGCGTGGGGGTTGTCGCCCGGCGCGCTATTCAGAGGGTCCGCCAGGAGGTTTATCCCTCCTTTACGATGGCAACTCACCCTGATTCGGCTATACCACCGAGGTTCCTGCTCTGATGGTGAAGTTGGCGTGGGGGATCTGCTGGATAGTGATGTCCCTTGGTCTGGCTGAGGGCCCGGGGGCGGTTGATGTTGAGATTAATCCAGAGCCCCACAGACCAATCCTCCCGCCTGCAGCGGTCCCCCTTAGAGGCTGCATTGGAAGTGAGAAACTAGTTCTCGGGGAGTTGGAACGTTACGCTGCCAGGGCCAGAGAGGCTCTTGCTCAGGAGGAAAGCCACCTACATGCGGCCGAGGCTGTCGCCAATCGGGAGGCAGTTAATGCAGCGCTTAGAGCGGCGATGGAGGCAGATGCTAGAGCTAAAAAAAATGCCTCCTCCAACAGCACAATCAAAACCGATCACCCCCAAGCCTGCAGTCGGCTCCCATGTTTGGAGCTCACGTATGATCGCTAGTGCCGGCCGCGACTCCCAGTTCGCAGGGCCTGAGCATCATCAGGGATGGCGACCCGCCGTGGCTCGCTGGCCTCAAACAAACCTTGTTGGGAGATATGAGGGACATGAAAGAGGGACAGCGAGAGATCCTGACTTCGGTTCAACAACAGAGAGCTGATTTCCGCAACATGGGAGAGAGACTGGAGAGGGTTGAAGGTAGACAGGATGAGATGTTGGCGTTTGAGGACGATATCGAACAAAAGATGAGGGACTTGCACGACGGAGTTGAGAGAGGTCCTACTCCCCGGAGCCCGCGACCGGGCACGGGCCAGGTGCCTAGTCAGGTTGCCTCGTCGGTCGGGAACAGGGTGGTAGACGACTGCATGGCAACTAGAGGGTACAGAGACAAGAGGACATCCATCCGGAGGTCAGGGACCTCTTCGGAGCAGCAGGGGCCACGCCCCTTCTGAAGAACATCATCACGCCCTATGTGAGGTCTAATGTCTGCATTATCTAGATGAGAATTTCAGGTTAGAAGGCGAGTTTAGCAATCCGTCATTCAGGGGGTTAAGGGGCAACTGGAGTTCCGACGAAAGAAGTCCATGATTGTGGGACAGGAGAATGCCACGCTTGGGGTTTCCAGAAACCGCAGTATCGAGGAACGCAACACACTCCGTGCCCTCCTCGGCTTGCGAGACTTCGGATTCAAGTACCTCCCCCAGGGGAGGTCGATTTCGGCTGGACGGGGAGGATTTGGTTCCGCCTTATGTTCCTCTCAGCAAAAGGGGATGAGTCTGGCTG